GCTTATGCTCTAATAAATTTGTTAGTCTCTAAGGTGCCACAAGTCCTCCTGTTCTTCTTTTGGCTTTTTTTAAGAGACTCACTTGCCCCATTCCTAAGAGCGCTAAAAGCACTGAGTGCTGCAAGCTTCCGTGAAGAGGAGAGGATCGTTGTGAGAGCTGTGGCCATTTGCCATTAAGAGAAGCCATTCAATTCCTCCACCTTCCCAGGTTCACAAACCCCAAGGGCTCTAGGACTTGCAAATCGGGTTTTATTCGGTTTCTCTCTTCGTGGCTTCCATGTTGAACAAATGCCCCAGTTCTGTGCTCGGGGGCGCTGTGCTATGGGGGAGGTGTCAACTTTGGGAGTTCAAATGTAGTTCTCATGACCAAACTGTCACTTTTCACAAGAGCTGGGGGTTGGCTCTGGTGTCCTAATCAAACAGAGATGTGGGTAATTACATCAGCCGATCCCAATTCTCCTTTCAGCTGCACGTGTTGTTCTTCACTTCTGGTCCCCAATAAAAGTGCGTTGGTGATGCTAAACAACGGCCAGGGCCAGAGCTGGCTGAATTTTAATGGGGGGCAGAGCGCTCCTCGTTCATTAGGCAGTTGGCACATCAGGTTGCACGTCAGGGTGGGATGGTTGTGTTTCAATGTCAGGTTGGGTTGGTTGGGTTTGCACATCTGATTGGGAAGCCTGTGTTTGCACATCAGGTTGGGTTGGTTGTGTTTGCACATCAGGTTGCATGTCAGGTTGCACGTCAGGTTGGGTTAGTTGTGTTTGCACATCAGGTTGCATATCAGGCTGGGTTAGTTGTGTTTGCACATCAGGTTGCATATCAGGCTGGGTTAGTTGTGTTTGCACATCAGGTTGCACGTCAGGTTGCACGTCAGGTTGGGTTAGTTGTGTTTGCATGTCAGATTGGGAAGTCTGTGTTTGCGTCTCAGATGGGCATGGCTGTGTTTCAGTGTCAGGTTGGGTTAGTTGTGTTTGCACGTCTGGTTGCACGTCAGGGCCAGAGGACTGTGGGTGCACGTGCAGTTGAACATCAGCTAACAAATCAGTTTGAGATCCTGTTTTTTGCACATCCGTTTGCACGTCAGTGACCAGATCAGTTTGAGCTAGTGTTCTTTGCACATCCATTAGCATGTTCGTTTGCACGGTCAAGCGGGATGCTTGCGCTTGCACC